TCCGTTCTTTTATCCATATTTTGAATTTAGTGCTAAATTTGGCTGTTCTATTTTCATCTCATGTTGACAGTAAACGCATTTATCATGCCACACAAATAAAATACAAAATTAGATAAATATACGCTAAATGCGATGTTAAAAAGAGCTGTAAATATCTAGCTTTTGTCGAGTCACTATGGGGTAATTTTCCTGGGGTAAATGTTTAGGACAAATAAAATGTTCAACAAATGTAATTTAACATTATTAAAGCTATTAAAAGTATTTTTAATAATTTAGTACATTAACCAGCTAATGGCATGATTTAATTGCGGCAACGCATTTTGGAATTTATTTTTTCGGAAAATTTATTATATTAAAACTATATTAGAGAATGCAAAAATATATAGGTAATAATACAGTATAACTATATTGAATTATTATAATTATAATTATTAAGAGAGAATGTAATTTATTGAACTATTTAGTGCTTGAAAATCGATAATTAAAATTTTCTGCGAATCGTAATTGTTATTTAGCTATATAAGGATAGCAATAATGTAAAAGAAAATCATTTTTTCAACATTTTATAAACATACATGACAGTTACCGCGGCTCATTACAAATTACAACATTATGCTAACGCGACGCTTTTGTAGGTTGAATATCTACTTAGTCCAAGGGCAGTGCCATGATCAAAGGGCCGGTTTTGCGCTTAATGCTTTTCGCCACACATAAATCTTGCCGTTTGTTCACCCGACCATAGAATGGCACCAGGAAGGTCAAAGGTTAAAATAATCGCTGATTGTTGTTAGTCTCCAATCTTCGTCATCTTCTCCTCATATCCATTATATAATTATTCTCTATCATATATTATTATATAATTATAACGTGCGATGAATGATTTAAAACAAATCAGATAATTCTCATGTATATATATATATATTATAAAAAATTATATGTATACATATAATTATATATATAAAATATTGGAGAGATAATCAGTTTTTTATATAATTGTTCTTTAATTTAAAGAAACGCGCGTAAAAATTTTTAATTCGATATATTTTTCTCTTGCCTTATACAATTTTATGTGACATTAAGGGAGAAAGAATAGAATAACATTTTTAAAAATTGTTATTTTTTTATTCACATTTCTACAAGAAATATGCAATTTGTAATTTTTGGAAATGCTAATGAAATATTAATATAAAATTTTTACTATACAATGTATTGAAATTTAAAATCTAGCCTACTTATTTAATTAAAGGTGATGAATATTAATTATGCGATTGAAATAAAAAGTTTTGATTGTTTTCTATTGTTCATGAATTATAAATTTAAACATGAGAAATACATATATAGAATAAAATAAGTTATATATAAAGTTTTTTTATACTATTTTTTAAGAGGAATAAAAAAATTATATAGAATGTCATTTTTACTATAAAAGAAAAGGTGTTCTACATATTTCTATATAGAGAGCAGATTAAGTTTCGTCCGTGATGACGTCGGAGGAGGCAATTTATTGACCCGAATGGCTTTGGCCTAATTTAAGATGTTCCGCACAGAAAAAGGAGAGATCGATCTTATTCGAAAATTTGTTGTTGGCATACGAAAACTAATCGGACATTAATGAGGTCGTCACTCTACATATGAAAGATTAATTTTTTTAAAAAGAGATCTTTTTTAAGAAAAAATTACATTACATTGTATAATATATTAAATGTTTCTATGATTGCAACATAATTGGTATCATAGAGATATTGTATACATTAAATCTATATTAAATCTATATACATTAAGTTAAGAAAAAATTGATTCATAAAATGGTCAAAAATGCCTGCTATTTCAATTTACATTATCAAAAAAATAATTGTTTACTTATTAAAAAACAAAAATTTTTACAGGTTTTAATAAAAATATAATAAAGATAGCAAGGAAGATAACGAAATCTTAATTTAATCAAAGTAAATTATATATTTTAAAAAAATTTTAATTAATTTTATGTTTATTTAAATCTGTTTAAATACGTTTCAATAATATTATTTTGTTTTAATACTTAAAGAAATTTTTATAAAAATTAGATAGTATATTTATTTATTTTTTTTAAATATTGATTCTTTGTGTGTCTCTTTATTAGGTGTTCTATACATGTATTTATAATATCTCTATATATTAATATATTATACTCTAACAGCATCAGTGCAGATTATATTGTTGAGTCCAGCTTTGACCCAATTTCAGTCATCATTGCTTATTGACCGAAATAAGGTATTCGGGAAGCTTAAGAATCCTGGTTATATATAGACCTGAAAAGAATTGAATTGGTTGACTTACCAACCCCTAAGGGATCTAATAACCAAAACTTGGCGGAAGACGTTCTTAAGATCGGATGCGATTAAAGTAACCTGAAAGGGATTATTGTATCGTGAAAATCTAGTTAACGAAAACTTTGTGATCCATACTAATTTTACTTTTTGTTTTGAAATAGATTTAATCCTTCTTTGGATTAACCAAATTTGTATTTATGTATTCATTTCTAATTTATATTTATTTATTTCTATCTTATTTTCTTTATTTCTAGTTTGTATTATTTATTTAAAGTTTTTCTAATATAATTCTGTTAATTATTTTAATAATTTTTTGCAAAAGTATATCTTGTTCCAATGTAGTCTTTTCTATTTATCTGTTAAAAAGAAATTGTGCTTGTTATGATAAATTAAAATAATTTTTGTTTCTATTAAATCGTTACATAATATAATGCATTTTGTAAATTTTTTTTTGTGAAATGCTTTTGAGAGTTACGTTAAATGCATTATATTTTAAATTTGAAATTTATATATTATTGAAATATTGAAATTATATTATAGGTATTATATTATGATACGAGACATTATATCATCATTTCCAAAAGTGATTTTTTGAACGCTTTTCATTTATAATTTTTAAAAATTTTAGTGGATTAAAATTATAAATTAACACATTGGAATATATTCATTAATAAATAAATATAAATCTAATTTTAATTATTTCATAATTACTTTGTAATTATTTTGTAATTACTTTGTAATATTCATCGCCTTTAATTAAGCAAGCTAGATTTCAAATTTTAGTACATTATAGCATTATATTTAACTTAGGGAGTTTAAAAATCTATAATTCAAGACAAAATTAAATCTATAATTTGGACTTTTTATACTATGCGAATAATTATGAATATAAAAGTACGATTACAAAGATTTATAAAAAGGGATAGATGTTACGCATTTATATACATAAAAACTCATCTTCTTATATATGTATATCTCTTTTTGTATTTTAAATATGTCATTCAAACAAGATATCTTGAAGATTTTATTCTCTCGAATCGGAAATATAGAAACTACGAGAATATATTGTACAAGTTTATCTCAGGGGTCCTGTCAATATTTTTATTCATCACACGCCAATAGAGTGCATCGTCGCTCTCTTGTTACCCGATTTGAAATGGCGCGAGAAGCCAGTTGCTGGTAAGGGTTTTCTCGGTCGCGATGTCACAGAGACATCAATATCGAATTTCACGTCTGTTTCAAACCGAACTCGAAATGTTCTCCCGAGTTTCACGAATACTTGAGAGTTTCGGAAATACGATCTCTCCTTCCTATACAAGCGTTAGTATCTCAAGATTCTCGCGTCGTACATATGACATTCATCTTATTTTTTCATATTTCACACAAAGACATCCTGAAAAATCTCTTTAAAATTGGCATAATTCGGAAAAGAAAGTTAAGAGTAGAATTTGCTTTCGTTTTATATCGCAAACATTTCTCAGATTATTTTGATAACAAGATTTGTTTTGTTTACAAACATTGTTGTACAATGAATGATACATATAAATATCTATAGAGTCAAATATATGTATAAAGATATAAATATTCAGATGTATATAGAATGTAGTGCTCAGAAAATTAAAGGGATGAGTATTACATTTTTTCAAGCGTAAATAAGGCGCAAGTGATTAAACTTGTTTGCCTGGAACGGCGAGATAAATCTTCATATTATATTTTGTGTTAATGTGAGATAAAACTTCAAAGACTTTTCCGGTTTGGTCAAGAACTGAATTTATTGGGGGAGGAAATCGAGAAAATATTCCACTTCCTCTCAATGTTTCTAGTGCTCTTAACTTAAAATATTTTGTCGGAAGCATTTCTCCGCGAATTGTTTTAACTTCGACAAACCCTGGTTATTTTATGTTTATAAATATAGACTACAATAGACGAGTTTACTCGTTTACAAACAGTTGTAGAGCTTGCTTTCAATTGAATATCTGAAGAAAATTTGATTTATTGTCAACAAAGATTTAATCTTATATGCATGATTATTTTTAATGTTATCATTTTATTATTTTTCATGTATTTAATAATGCGCATTTTTTGTCATATAGAGTCTCAACTATTCGGACATACATTTTCAACTATTATGACATCGAACACGAAGGAATTAAATGTCCGGTAATCTACTTTTCGCTTGTCGAACCAACGTGATTTGTGCATTTTGCGTATTACCTGTCTTTAATGACATTTTTTCTTTGTTGTCGATTTTGATGCTGAAAGCCTGGATTTCGCTCTCAAGCGTAAGCTGTGAAATCCGTCGCGAGTCAGATGCACTGGGACGCGCGCGGAAATAACGTTCGTTATGCAAACGAATGCTAATGTTAACCAAAATGTGACGGACAGGCGGGAATGGAAGAATATCCGGGCAAAGTTTGAACCATTGGCGAAGTCTATATGCTTCATGAGATACCCGCGGACCACTCGTCAATTTGTGGTTCACCGAGAATATAACGCGGTCAATTTATTCGGAAAAGGAGATTATGGATTACGGTGATGGAAGAATAATTCTTTCCGATTGCGACTCATCGTTGTACCAAAATACGATATTTTAATAACGCGACACCTGGAGAGAGATAATGTTCTTTAATATTCTTTCATGACTGAGATTTTTCTGCAACTCTTTGTGCGCTGCAAATCAAACGAAGCATTTTATTCGCCTTTTTCCGGATCACGCGGTAACGTACACCCGACTTGTCTCGAATATTCCACGATGATATCTTTGAGCTGTTTCGTCAAGATCATTTGATCCTCTACTTGCCGCATCAGCTGATTCTTTTCTGCTTCTAAGTCGTTGAATTCTTGAATTCTTAGCTGTTCGGTGATGCGCGATCTCTCTACAGCTTTACGTGTCTCGTATATGATTACACTCCACAAAAGCCCAAAGACTAATATCTTAAAGATTAGATCTGGATTTTATTTATTTCGTGAAAAAATTGCTAATAAATCAACCTAAAAAATATATACGTGCGTGCAAAAATTTCCTGATTGTTATTCTTACCTCGATTAATAATTTCGTCCCTAACTCCATCGTGCGAATGTCATCACGCTTCCTTTTTGCTATAGCTGGAATTCTTTGCGGTGCTATCTTGCCTTCGCACCAATAATAGAAACGTCCCAATTGAATCAGGACATATTTTTGTAGGAGTGGTCGCTTCTTCACATGCCTCACTATAAACTTTGACAACGGTTGCGTGATTTGTTTTAGAAACTGCCCAATAAGATTCGCGCCAGGAAATTTTTGCACCACCATAACTGCAAATACTTATCTCATCCTCTCGGAGCAAAATAATTTTCTTATAATCGTTATTAATCGGAGGAGAAAATGCTGAATTCATCTCGTTTACATGTTGACGTAAACAGATTAAAACTAGGGTTAAGTTGGCTATTTTTATATTATATGAAGGTTTCAGTATATCTCTTGATATTTATTCATCTGCCATCATATAAAACTTTTAATCTTCATATTTTCAGAAATATTATCTTTATTTTTTCTATTTTTTATCGTTGGATTTATTTCTTTGTTTTGTTTAATCTTGTTAAAATTCGTAAGAATTAATATATACGATATTTTTTAAATTAATGTATTAAAATTGCATATTTTGATTTAGCAGATTTGTCAATTTTTAAATCATATATCAATGATATACAGCACATATAACTGCAATAGTAGTATATCGTGCATAATATAATTTTTTTAGAAAATGCGTAGCATAGTATGTATACATAACATATGTAAGTTTACTCAAATATTCACTACTGATTTATATCTAAAATTATGAAAAGTAGGCAAACCATCTTTTGAATTTGAAAAATATTATGTACTTTGGATTTGTATATTTCATGTGAAGATTTAAAAATATGTATATACTTTCATATTGATCAAATGGATTAAACGGATTATATCCATCTATAATATATGTCCAAAAATCACGAAGGTGACCTAGTTGAACAGTTTGCAATTTCAGCAGGTATCACTTTCGATATGAAAATGCTGTATAGCTCTTTTGAAAATTCTCAGTTTTGTTAGTGAAATAGTATATATTATCTTATCAATTGTAATTAATATGCAAACGTTTATATTATTAATACATTTAGGTCTCTATATACATAATGTTAAATAGTATACAGATTTATTAAATTGTTCAACAGATTGATTTATTCGAGTCTATTTGAACTATTTTTATTTTTAATAAGATACATTTTTAAATAATAATTTTTCATCAATTTCTCTTGTATATATCTCTATATACATATCTGTATCTTGTGATATCTCGATATCATCTATTTAAATTTACTGCCGAAATCTAAATGACAATCGGAGAGTATAAGTCTCATCCTTCGCCGAAATCCATTAGATTGTCGCGAATCGCACACAAAATATATTGTGAAGAGAACATTTTTTTCCATATCCCTATATATCATTCCTTCTTATATAAGATATGCTTTTATGTTATTATACGAATAATATTCAACGAAAATTTTGAAAACAGATAAACATATATTTTCACCGTTAACTGACTATAATAATAAAATCTAATTCTATAAAGTTAAATACAATATATCTAATTTTGTTATTAATTAAAATTAAATACATGACGACGAAAACAAAAAAAAAAATAAATTACAAATAATTATATATTCTAAATGAATAATTATTTTAATGCAATTATGTTTTTTTTTACTCGATATGAATTTAGTTATAAGAAACAAAGTGTACATCAAATGCAGACATGCGTATGTACATATTAATCAATGCATTAGCTCAATGAGAATTTTTCTATTCTTAGATTCTATTATTTTAAATATTAAATATTTTCGATTGATATTTGGATATTGAAACGCATAAAAAAAAATCTTCTCCCAATCGGATTTAGAAAGGGGATTTTTCGGTTTCATATATAGGATATAAATATTGTCCATTCTATCTTTGAGAGACTCTGATCCCGATGCGGTCTTTCGGGACAAATCTCTATTTTGACGCCCGACTTCTTTTTTTCCAACGAACGATTACGAGTCTCTCTCGAGTCGGCCGACTCAATGCACGATTTGATAGTCCTCTCGGCCGCCCCTTGGGGTGTCTTTTCACTTTTACCCCGCGATCGATCCGACCTACGCCCCTATGCACGGCTATTTGTAGGGCCCGCGTGCGGGACGGAAAAGAAAATTCTCTATATGCACGTGTGCACTGCTCCGTGACATTTCAAAGTTCATAGTTCATTATAGAAGTGCTGACGAATAATACTAACTTTTTTTTTTCCGACATCGAATAATTAGATATTTCAAAGAGTATATATATTTACTAAAGTATGTGAAAAAAATACATTTTTGTGTCACAATTATTTAATAACTCTTTGAGTTGAATATATTTGATTAGTGACATATCATATATTGAAATAGCATGTATTTAATGGCTATATATTTTAAAGGAAAATATTTTCTGCGCAAGGACGTAGAACATATTTGAAGCTTATTTCGCATGATATATTTGAGCGCATTATTTTGCGGAGCTATTTACATGACCGAAAATAAAAGAATTGATTTTCTGTAACTTGAAAGTACTTGTGAAAAGACGATTACGCATTACCGAAAAGGTAACTAAACAAAAGTATATAACTATACCCACTTTTTCCAATCGCTTAAATGAATGCATCTATACTGGATATACGACAATCCAGTCGTCGCCTTGATTTCAAGTATCGGGCGCACATGGCATCTGCATTCGAGAGCATCAAATAACAGCCGCCATTAAAAGTGTCGATACGCAATTTCCTGCGAAAACACGTCGTCGACGCCGGCGCCGCATGTCGGGAAAATCGGCGGAGAAATATCGGAAAATGTCGACGAGGTCGGCAGGCGGTGTAGGCGACGAGGCAGGATAGCGGAATGGAAGGACGCTCGTTCCAGGAGCACTTCTCCCGTCCGTCGTGACCGCGTGGAAGGCAAAGAAAAAAAAAAGTTGCCTATTTATAAACCATTAGCGGAGAATGAAGTTTAATCAGGCTCACGACGCCCCTCGTTCTATCTCTATTTATTGCTCCGCGGTTGATCAATACATTAAATGTTAGATTACCGCCATCGCTGTCTTATTTCAGCCGGAAGGAATTTTGGTTGGTTGCTGATCAAAAACTTTTTACGTGCGCTCTACAACAATTGACCTAGCTACGTTTTTTTACACGCTATACGGCATTACGCTCATCTTATTTATTTCTTTTTCAGATCTTTTTTGTCGTATATTATCCGAGAATAAACATTCTAAACTGGTTCTTAGGATAAAGGGTTGCTTAGTTATCTATTTGCTAATTATATAGATGTTTGTCTATTATTTCCAAATATGGGTACTTTACAAAGGGACTATTTTGGTGTTTAAATCTAAAACACTTTTTGTAATCTATTTAAAAAAAGAGAGAGGAATGTGCCTCCCCCTCAATGATTTATTGCTAAATATATCTCCCCTATGTTGAGAATGCTGCATTCTATATGTATATTAAACAAGTAAGACTCCAAATGATTGTTCAAACAAATTTCACAAATTGATAATAACTTAAAATTGCAATCAAGAGAACATTAATTATGGAGGAGACTATACTTATATGGATACCGAAATTGAAATTAGCGATAGAAATAATCTGATGATAATTAAAATTACGATAATGGATATTTTCTTTATGTCATTTTATAATTTCTAAACGCACAATGCACATTTCTCTTTTTATTATTTTACTTTTTTTATGATATAAGAATGAGGAGAGAATCTCTCTTCAAGTTATATATAAATTACGTTATATCGCTATAAATTATGTCACGTTATGCTATATTTGTATTTGATCCCAGCCTTGTTTAACTTATATTTAGACGCTAACGTGATATAAAATGATGTTCTCTGTTAATTTCAATTATCATCAGCTTTATGTGTTATGTGTGTTGTATATAAATGAGATTATAAAAATAGAGATAGTTTAACACGATGAATCCATTTACATAACGAATCTGTAAATTGCGAAAGTAGCGTGTTATTATCTAATTAAAATTTATATAGGGTAAAAACTCGCGTTCTCGTGTGCTCTTATATATATAAAATTATTTAACTAATATATAAAAAATTTTATTCTTCGGTTAAATTTAAATGAATGCACAGGATACTAATGTAAAGTTTAGTAAATGTAAAATAATTGTTCAAAAAATCTGCGGATTTATTTAAATTATTTTGTTAAGAAAATAATAAATTAACACATTTCATATAAATTAATTGCAAAAAGACTTTAGTTAAGTAGAGCACGAAAAATGTGATCTTTTTCAACACTTGAAAAATAATTAATGTCCACGTTCTTTTGCGTGTGATATATACTCGTACATATTTAATATTATATTTTCGGACAATACGATTAATTAACATGTCAAGTTTAATATTCGATTCAAAAAAGAGCAAGGATCAATTTGCTAAAAAAGAGAAATAATTCATTAATTTTACTTATAAATATGAACAAAACTTTTACATAAAGACCCATATGTCTATGAGAACTTTCTATACACATGTACAACACACCTTTCGTATCTATATTTGCTTGTTAAATTAAGGAATGATTAAAGATTAAAGATTATCATTAATATCAACGTTAATGGTATAATTTAAAGGAAATTTCTGTTAGATATACGGTATACATATGAAAATTACCATATAAATTGAATCACATTAGTTTCGAGTAACTAGTAGTTAAATACAATACAACAATTTATATATAATACAAATATTAATTTTATTGAATTCTCTTGAAATTGACATTTTCATGAAAGAATTGCTAAAAATGCAAGAGAATTTGAGGCACAAGAGTTAAAAAAATTGTTTCAAGTTGCACCAAACAAAAATGTATTGTGCTCGTCTAAAACTCAATCACGAAAACATTGATAAGATAATATTTCCTTTTAAAAAAAAATTTAGCGATAGTCTTGAAAAAAATAGATATTGAAATATATATATAGAAATAAAAATAGAATAAAAATAGATATAAAAATATACAATAGATAGAAAAATTGTGTTGTCAGAGAAATACTTTCACTTTTAGCCAGTTTCTACATAATTCATATATGAAACTTCTTATAATCGCAAGAACGGAAGTACGTTGTATCACACAAAATACGCTTGCTCGGAAGTCGAACGTTGCAAAAACTTGATCTCATGGCTGACGTGGCTCGAGTCACATTTTATTTACAGACAATAAAAATGACGGCATACGATTACAGCTCTCGAAGTCT